GGACTGTCCTAAATGAGCTTCAGAAACTTAGCAAGATATTCTATGGAGTCAGACTGCCTAGTCTGAATCCTGCTTCCTCCATTGGGCCCTTTACTTAATCTTTTGTCTTCATTTTATTGGGTTGTTGAGATGATTAAATGAGTTAATAGAAGCATTGTGTTTAGGACGGAATTCACAGAGTAAGTGCTCAATAAATATTAGATATCCTTATCACCACCACCATCGTCGCCACAGTAATTATCACCATCACCACAGTCATCACCACCATCATCATCATCCTCACAATCATCAGACAGTTTCTGTCTAATCGAACTGGGGTCCAAGGTTGCTGCTCATTTCTATGCCCATCTTAATTCATGAGCTGTGGCCTCCGCTTGCTCCAAGAGCCCTGGTTAGGATCTGTATTTTGTCACAGCTTTCCCACTCCGAGTTCTTGGATGCTTCCAGCCGTAGCCACTGATGTGTTTTGATAAATTTTATAAAATTCCAAGGAATTGGAGGCATCATCATTTATGAATTTCCAAGGAAATGGATCTTGGCTTTTACAACATGGGTTGGTCTTAGAAGTTAATTTTTGGCCTCAGTGAGCCTAGATACTGGTTTCTTCACAACCCCTTGACAGAGCCAAGGGCCCTTCCTTTGGGTTCAAAACATAGGTAGGCCCTGGCTGGGTGGCTTAGTTGGTTGGAGTGTTGTCCTGTCCACCAAAAGTTTGCAGGTTTAATTCTCGGTCAGGGCACATACCTAGGTGCAGGTTTGATCCCGTTGGGCACGTATGGGAGGCAACCAATCGATGTTTCTCTCTCACATTGATGGTTCCTCTCTCTCTTTCTCTCTCTCTCTATAAAATCAATAAAACATCCTCAGGTGCGGATTTAAGAGAAAACATAGGTAGTCACCTCCATCTTTTACCACATTATATTTACAAGTCTATTCATAAGTGTCTGCCTCCCCCATGAACTACCTGTAAGGTCTTCATGGCAGGGGCTGCCTTCATCTATGAGTCCCCAGCACCTAGCACAGAGGCCGACATACAACAGGTTCTCAGTGGAGTCAGGATCCATTCAGATGCTGTTTGCAGCACTTCCCCTTTGCCCAGGCCTGGTCAGGAATACAGAGGGAACAAGGGCAAGGCACCTGCCCTCGTGGGGCCTCTAGCCTAGTGGGGAGGCAGACAGACATTGAACAGAGAGCCCCCTGAATGAACGTGAAGCAGAGTGCTTGGGGGGGGGGTGCTTCCCGGGAAGACCCAGCCTTGAGGGGGTCAGAAAGGCTTCTCCAAAGAAATGGCGTTGAAGCCCAGCCCTGAAAGGTGAGCAGGAGTTGGCTGCTGAGGACTGGAAGGAAGACGGTCCAGGCAGGGGGGTCCATGCAGAGGGAAACACTCGGCTCAGTGGAGCAGCCGAAGGAGACGATGTGGCTGAAGGCGAGGAGCTGGCAGAGCCAGGCGGCTAAGTGGAGGTCAGATTCTTCAGGGCCTCGTAGGCCATCTGAAGGCAGACATGCAAAGACTTGTAATGTGGTAAAAGGTAGAGGTGACTCCCTATGACTGGGTTTTACCATTAAGCACAGTGAGAAGCCGTTGCAGGGATTTCAGGCAAGAAGTGACCTGGTTTGATTTGCATTAGGAAATCTCTTGGGTCGCCGTGTGGAAAATATTTTGGAATAAGCAACGGGGAGGGAGACTAGAGGCTGTTGAATTTGTCCAAGTGGGAGATGGCAGGGTTGGACTAGTGTCGCGTGGCAGGAATGAAAGAACAAAAGCACTGGGCTTTGGGGGAATGAACAGAACGTGGTGATGGATTGCTTGTTGGTGACAAAGGAAGGGGTGCTAGAGATGACCTCTGGGCTGTGGTGAGAATCGCCAGGTGGGTGGGGGAGCCGTGTCCTGGGGTGGGGAAGAGCTGGCGGAGAAACAGACTGGGGGCGATCCTACTGTTGGCCATGGAAGTAGAGAGCAAAACAGACATCGCTTTCAAGAAGTTCTCCCTGAAGGGGACGAAAGAGACTGGCCAGAGGGAGGCGTAGGGGGCAGGGGAGGGTGGTCATAAAGATGGGAGGTTTTAGCAGGTGTCTGAGTGATGAGGGTCAGGAGGATGGTGAGGATCAGGAGAGGGAGAAGGTCACAGGCAGGGCAGGGACCAAGATGGGAGTCGATGCAGCTCAAAGCTCCTAAGAGGAACTGGGCTTTGATCCACCGTGATGGGCTGGACAAAAGAGAGGTGGTTTTATGAGCTGAGTTGAGCTGAATGCTGGTCAGCCTGGGAATTCTTTCTCCCCAGCAGTGGGAGGCTTTCCCTTGTTATCTCTGCCTGTGAAAGAAGCTTCCCGCATGCTCACCGTAGGTTATTTGCTGGATTCTTCCATCTGCCCCTCCAGCTCCACTCTCCACCCTTGCCCATAAAATGAGGAGGCACGCTTGGGTGTGACCAGCAGGGAGCCCTGGCGGCAGGCTGGAGGTGCGGAGAGGAGAGAAGCCAGGTATTTCTTCTCCCTGCAAGGTCCCTTTTGGCCACCATGTCCCTCAGCCAAGGGTAACAGCTCTTATCAGGTGCCTTTTCACACAGCTCTTTGCTCTCCTGTATTAGATATTGGCATCCTCCCCTCACGTCTGCAGGCCTGGGGCTGATATCTGTGCCCTAGTGCTATTAGACCCCGAGCACTGGACTGTCCTTTGTGATTTCCCTACAGCCTGTTCATACCTCTATTGTAAAGGTCTATTTTTCTAACTTTCTTCAGATCATCCAAGTTGAGCATGTCCTCTGTGTCCTAAAGGGATCCAGACTGTACAGCAATAGGCACCCTTTTCAGGTTCATAAATGCATGGAAGATGAAAGTTGGGGAGGAAACCTAGATGTCTTCTAGTCCAGCTCCTTAATTTAAGGGAGAAAACCAATATTCGGGAGGCTGAATGAGTTGGCCAAGCTCACACAAGTTAGTACACCCCTCATTAGCTCTTATGGGAAAAGTGGATCCCAAGACAAGAAGCAACTCTGTCCAGGGAGGAAAGGCTGAGTCATTGAGCTGACCGTGGAGGGCAGTTGGGAGAGTTTTGAAGGTGGGAGAGACGTGTTCTTATTATCTGGGATTTTCTTGCCAATTGCAGAAACTTTCCTTCAGAAGCTTTCATAGCCCATGTTTATTTTCTTCCCCAGGGATAGGACCCATCCATCTCAATGAAATTGAGTGCACTGGGAATGAGAAGTCCATCATAGACTGCAAATTCAATGCCGAGTCCCAGGGCTGCAACCACGAGGAAGATGCTGGTGTGAGATGTAATATCCCTGCCATGGGCTTCCAGAAGAAGGTGAAGAGACTGGACGCACAGACGGAACTGTGTGTTATGTTTCGGTCATTGAGGCCCCAGAAAGTACAGACCTGGTGGCCTCACTTGGAAGGTTTCTAGGTGGTGGTATTAGGGTACTCTGGCGATGATCTTAGGAAGGGCTCAGGCTCCGCTGTTATCATGACATTGCCACCTAGCATTTGTAAGTGTGCCAGAATGAGAAAACATACGTATAAGCACAACTGTCCTTAGTGGCAGATGTTGAGCGTCCACTGGGTGCTGCATCCTGCACTGGGGCTGGACGTATGTGCGATCCCAACACAGTTCTTTCTGAGGGACTCCAGGTCTACAGCACCTGTGGCACCCTTGGCATGGGCCTTTTCCAAGCACCCAGAGGAACCAAACTGACATCAGATCTGCAAATCACACAGATGTAAGCACAATACAGATAGTATTTTAGTAACCAGAGGGATAGAAAAGGGAACCTTAACAGCGTTAAGCCAGAGGCACACCTTCCTATCCTGAGATGGGGCCTCAAAAAACCTACGTAGTGTCTCCTAGCTTGGATGTCCTTGCCCACGGGAGTAGCCAGCAGATGACTTCCTCTTGCCAGGAAGTCTATCCAGTCTTACCAAAAGGCCCAGTAAGTCCTATTTAATGTCCTTCATTATGCCATGAATGTGGTCGGGTCTGTGCATCATCTGGTGGGTGGCACGTTGGAAGAGCTTCCTGGGTGCTTATTTTAAAATGAGCAAACTCAGACACAACAGGATGCAGGATGGTTCCCCAGCTGACAGTGATTCTTGACCTTGGCACCAGCATGCCAAAGGCACTATTGAACTTGCGCAACTCACTGCCCAACTGGCCAAAGGTGTGCACCCGATAGACTCAGCCAAGCCATGCATTTGCTTATGGGTGAGCAGGACTGTGGGTCAGGGCCTCACAGCTGTGGGAAGAGGGGCTGGGCCATCTGTAATTGCCCAGTAGCATTCTAATAGCCATAACAGATCTATAAAAGCCAACGTGCTCTGAGTCTGGCTTGCTGTGGCACCGTTCACTTCAGACAGATTGGAGTTGGGTGGAGTGGGGTTTTCAACCCAAATGAAAGATCTGGGCCAAAGAAAGTGAAATTTCGCAGAACTATTTTATGGTGGGAATTGCTGAGCCAGGCCCAGTGATGCCCCAGAGGCACGGAACTCCCAGCACAAACAGCCCTCTCCCTTTCATGGGCCCTCCAGGCTCCAGGAGGTGGCCCCTGCTCTCATCTACAGAGTGTGGGAGAATTTTACACTTAGATCTGTTTCTTACCCCTGGAAAGTAAATGGGGATAGTCACCTGTAGAAGAAATTCCTATGGCACCAGTTCTTGCCACAGCAGATGGTCAGGCTTCCGTGTGGCTGGCTTGGGGCCCCCAAAGGTCCTGGCAACAACACTGGGCAGAATAATCGAGACTCCTAAGTTTTATCACTGTGTCAGTTTGCTGGGGCTGGCAGAACAAAATACCACAAACTTGGGTGGTTTAAACAATAAAAATGTAGCCTCTCGTAGTTCTGGAGGCTAGAAGTCCAAGATCAAGGTGCTGGCAGGTCTGGTTTTCCTGAGGCCTCTCTCCTTGGCTTGCAGACTTCTCACTGTGTCCTCACATGGCCTCTCCTCTGTGCTTGTGCATACCTGGTGCCTCTTCCTCTCCTGGTAAGACCACCAGTCAAATTGGATTAGGGCCTCACCCATATGACCTCATTTAGCCTAATTACCTCTTGAAAGGCTCATCAAATACAGTCATTTGGGGGATTTGAGTATGAATCCAGCATATGGATTGGAGGGGGGGCACCACACACACAAATGAGCTTAAACAATCACTCACTAGCTGATTCCTTAATCTCTTTGAGCCTTCAGTTTGCTCCTCTAAAAATAGGCTCAAGAGAGATGATTCCTAGAAAAATCAGTTGACTTTTCATTGAATGGCTAATGAAGGCCACAGACTGGAACTGGTTTTGTCTATCCACCCACAGCACAGCCAGAGGCACTCAGGAAGACCAGCGTTGGCCTCCTGGAGGTCAGGCCTCTTGCCTGTTCTGAGCCCCTCTATCTGTTTTAAGGAAAGTTTTGTTTTCTGATGGGACTCTCAGCTAAAAAGGATCATTGCCGTGATGATGCCTAGCATTTCTCGAGCACTTCCTGAGCGCCAGGCCCTGCCTGAGCTCTTTCTGTGAACTGTCTCATTTCATTCATCTATTCAACAACCCAGGGAGGTAGATGGAACATCATGGCTGCCCTTGGCTTGTCTGTTAGACGGCTGACCTCATTGACCCTTACAGCCCCTAAGTCCATAACAGGAATTAAGACCTGTGGCCCAAGGGCCATGCTGTTGCTAAGGATTGGTCAGCTATTGTGCTGTTGTTAAGGACTGTTGACCAGGCAGCTTAACTTGCTGAGGATTTCTGGAGGTATCATGCCTTATCCCAAAGGCATGAATTATTGGAAGCGCACAGTAGGCTCTCAGTGATGCTGTTGACTCTGTGTCCCAGGCAGGACCCTGTGGCATGGGAGAATTGGGACTGATGGCAGTACAGTGGGGCTGCTCCTCTGCATCCCCTCCTGGTGACCGTGCCTGCCTTTCTCTCTACAGCTGCGCCTGAATGGGGGCCGAAACCCCTACGAGGGCCGGGTGGAGGTGCTGGCAGAGAGGAACGGGTCCCTCGTATGGGGGACGGTGTGCGGCGAGAACTGGGGCATTGTGGAGGCCATGGTGGTCTGCCGGCAGCTGGGCCTGGGGTTCGCCAGCAATGCCTTCCAGGTGAGAAGTCCCAGCTTCAGCTCCTCCATCCAGTCTGATCCTGCCCACCTCTAGTCAGCCCCCATCTTCCACAGACCTTCCCCAGCTACCCAGGAGGAGGAAAGCCAAGTGCCGTGGGCTGGGAGGCAGGAACCTCATCCTGGCCTCAGTTCTGCCCCTCACAACTCCAAGTCCCTGGGCGAGCCATCCCCCCCCAACACACACACACCCTGCTTTTCCTCTCTGTGGAATGAGGGCCTAGACTGGTTTCCCAGTTCACTCAGCTTGCACTGGGATTCACCCTAGGCTGAGGGCTAATCTTGGGGTGTCCTTCTATGCCCTTTGCAGAGGGAAACAACTCAGTCCTATGGGGTAGTGGAGACCACCCAGGCCAAGGCCCAACATGCCATGTGCCTTAGCTTGCTCCCCTGGAGGCCCCTCAGGCCAGAACCTGTTCCCAGCTGTAGTCCATGCTCATGCATTCTCTGGTTGATCAGCTGCTAAATTTCAAAGCCCTTCCAGAACCCTTGTCACAGCGCCTGCACCCTCCTCCCAGGGGCCCCTTCCTCAAAGAGAGTGACTCAGCGGAGGGCAGCCAAGCTCCTGCCCCAAAAGGCAGCAGAAGAAAGACAAGTAGCATTTGGCTTCTAAAATTATTCCCTCTGGACCCTTCTGTGAGGGAACAGGCACCCACAGCATAGAACAGTGTCAGAGGTGGAGTGCGGGGCAGGGGACAGAAGGCTTGGAATCTATTCCCAGCTACACTCCCAGCAGCCCGCGGAATAATGATCTGGGACAAAGCAGCCACCTTCCCAGGCCTCACTTTCCCTCCTGTGACACGGAATGAATAGTCCTGGGTTCATAATGTCCTGGCTCTAAACACTTTCCTTCAGCTTCTCGCAGGGCAGGAAAATGGCTGGAGCACCCCCTCCCGCACTTTGCTAACCCTGACCCCAGCTCCTGTGCCCAGGTGGCCCTGCTTGGGACGAGGGTGAGATATGGAAGAACTCTGGCAGCCTTGCTGACCCTGACTACCAGCCAGGTCCAGGCAGTGAGTCCTGAGCAGAGGCTGCCCCATGGCCCCAGCCAGCTTCCCGGGCCAGCATAGGATCTCTGCTAATGCTGCTTAGGACAAGCCAGGGTACTCTCTGTTTCTCTAAGGAAAGTTGACAAACAGTGCTCATTACAGCCTAGTGGCTGTCCAGCTGTTTTTGTTCCTTGTCAACTCATTGCTACAACATCTGGGCCTCAGCTGAGGTTGTGACATGGGCCTGCACCTGACATCAGTCACCGATTATAAGTCCCGTCCCTTCTCTAGGCCCCGGTTTTCCATTTAGAAGATGAGGAATGTATAGTCAGGTTCTCTAGAGAAACAGACCCAATAAAATGTATGGATATCAAACTAACTACTGCCATATATGAATAAATTTCTTCTCTCCTGCCAGTTGTGATCAGTTGGTAGTGTGTTCCTGGAGCACTGTGTTGAGAAGGACTCAGATCACAGTCAGGCTTAGAGGAGGGAGTGCCGTGATTGATTCATAATGTCAGGATAAGTCAGTGGAAGCATGAGTTGCAGGTGCCTGCCATTCCTGACACACAACACACAATAGTTGTTTGACCAAAGCGACCTTAGCAATGCTCTCCAGAGGGGGGAGGGTGGGAAGTGAAATAATTAATTCTCATGGTGAGAAGACCTGGATTCTCACTCAATCACTAACAAACTGCATGACTTAGGTGATTCGTTGTGCCTCAGCTGTCTCCATCTGGAAAATGGGATCATTAAGCTTTGAGACTTTTGTGAGGCTGAATGTTAATAGAATACGAGAAAGTGAGCATTGCCGGTGACATCCTGGCCATTTCTTCTGTTGATTCTCCAGGAGACCTGGTATTGGCACGAAAACATCAATGCCAACAAAGTGGTCATGAGCGGAGTGAAGTGCTCGGGAACGGAGCTGTCCCTGACGCACTGTCGCCATGATGAGGACGTGGCCTGCCCCCAGGGCCAAATGCAGTATGGGGCTGGAGTCGCCTGCTCAGAAAGTGAGTGTTCCTCGTAGTCATATCCGCCCTCCCTGCCAGGCTCCAGGAAGGGACCAGTCTCACTGGTGATTCCTTGCAAGGCTCTGGGGCCTCTGCCATGAGCCGAGTCAAAAAAGAAAGCAAAGGGTTAATTCCTGTGCGGTGAGAAGGTGGGGGCAAAAAGCAAAAAGGACTCCCCCAACCCCAACCACAGAAACTTGCCTGATGGCCGGATAGGGGGTAGAAGAAAGCAGGAGGGAGCAGCCGGGGTGTCTGGGGGCNGGCAAAAAGGACTCCCCAACCCCAACCACAGAAACTTGCCTGATGGCTGGATAGGGGGTAGAAGAAAGCAGGAGGGAGCAGCCGGGGTGTCTGGGGGCCTTGTGTTCAAATCTCAGAGCCACTGTAGACTATTTAAGCGACCTCAGGCAAATTACATGGCTGCGAACTCCTTGCTCTTAGCAGTTAATGATGAAGAGAACACCTTCCTTGGAGGTCGTTCTGAGGTTAGTGAAGCATGAAGCCTATGCTAGTTGCCTGGTACACACGGCTTTCTTCCTTCCACTGTCCTCCTCCCCGGATCATTTTCTGTTTCACACCCTGGAGGCGATTTAGCTTCCCGACTATTCCCTGGGTATTCTAGAAAGACTGGAAATATAGAAGGGGAAGCCCCACCAGGATGCAGAATGACCCAGCTTGTGAAGTTTCCCTTCCATGCTGAGAGAAAGGACCAGAGGCCATCCTGCAGGCATGTCACTCTCCTGATCCCCAGACTCTGCTCTTCCCACCCCTGGCCTAATAAAACCAATCCCCGGTGAATCAAGGAAGCAGGAGGCCCAGGATCTGGCCCAGCAACTTGAGGCCAGCCCCTGCCTGCCACTTATTGCTGATTTGGCAAAGTTAGTTAACTGCTATGATCTACAGTTGTCTTTTTTTTCTAGAAACTGAAAATTAAATATGACAATGAATATATGCAGGTGCTTAGTAAAAAACGATGCGCTGTCTTTTACCATCAAGGAAAACTAGGGAGAAGATTAAACCTCGAGCTCAGTCAATTCGATTCTCCCATCAACCCCTTTAAGACTCACTCAGCATTTTCCTAAGTCCTACAAGGCAGGACTGTGGGTGGATGCCGGCGCTGGCTTCCTTGAGCAGACATCCCAAGCTACTGCATCCTGTCCGAGAGGAGAGACTGAGAGCATCACCCTTACCGGCCACCCAAGCAGAGAGAAGCCGTCTCACCACTGTCAGGGGACTTTGCTTGGCCTGTTAATCCATTTATATTTGTAATATACCAATTTTTCCCCAAAAGGAAATTTAGATAACATAAACTTAAATAAAATTCAAGGTAGCATAAAATAAAAGCAGATGAAAGAAAAATAGATATTGGCAAAAGGGTAATGACTCCAAATGGTGTGCAGGATGCAGCCAATAAATGACTCTCATCATTGATGTATCTCCTTCACTCTCCCTTCCTCTCTTTGAAGAAGAAAAAAAAAAGATGGATGGATCTTGTAAATAATTCACATACAACATTTTTTGTGATATGACGTGTACTAGAAACGTTCAATGGAATCCCACTTGTAAAGGGAAACTTAGTTCATTCTTTGTAAAGAAGTAAAACCTAATATATTTATACCGAAAATATAGATTGTAGCCATCAGTAATTTTTTAACACTATGTGCAATGTGCTAATTGAGTAAGTCATCCTGTTTTAAAGGATGCACTTTGAAAAAACCCAGCCTAGAGCCACTGCAAGCAGAAACTGGAAGAACCTGTTAAAGTGATTGGCAGTATACATCAGAGCCTTGAAGATACGCAGCCCTTCCTCCCAGCAATTTCACTGATAGAAATATATTCTAGACAAATAATTTAAGTTATATACACAGATTTACTACAGGATGTTTGTTGCAGCTTTCTGTTTAACTGGGAAAAATTCCCAGCAACCAGTGTATTTAAAAATATGGACTAAGGTTATGAATTAAATATCACGTAGCTATGTTTTGAATGTTGTAATGGATATTTATTAACAAGGAAATATGTCAAGATGTATTTGAAGGGAAACAGTATAGCAGACTATAAATCTGCATACAATATTGCACATGTTGGAAAATAGATCTGTATCACTCCCAGAAGAATTAGACCAAGGTATTAAGAGGGTTCTCTCTGGGTACAGAGGATATTGTTATTGTTTGCCATTGTCCTTGTCATTGTTTGCTTTCCATTACCGAAAATCTCAAGCTACTGAAAAGTAGAGAGAATATTATAATGAGTCCTCATGTACCCATCACGCAGATTGCACAATTTCCAACATTTTGCCCACCTGCACTGATACCTGCAGAGGTGTCCAAGAGGACACTCGGAGAAGGAGAGGAGGAATTGGGGCTGGCATTCCTCAAGGAAGGTGACCTTGAGAGGGAGACCATGAGTCAGTTCCAGAAGGTGGTGCCAGGCAGGGAAGGTTGGGGGGTTGTCCCAGTTCAGGAATCAGAAGTCACATACTCGGGAAGGGGGGAAGGGTCTCGGGTCTTGCTTGAGCACTGTGTCTGCCCTCCACAGCCGCCCCTGACCTGGTCCTCAACGCGGACATTGTCCAGCAGACCACCTACCTGGAGGACCGGCCCATGTTCGTACTCCAGTGCGCCATGGAGGAGAGCTGCCTCTCGGCCTCGGCCGCCCAGACCAACCCCACCACGGGCTACCGGCGGCTGCTGCGCTTCTCCTCCCAGATCCACAACAATGGCCAGTCTGACTTCAGGCCCAAGAACGGTCGCCATGCGTGGATCTGGCACGACTGCCACCGGTAAGGCCTCCCTTCCACCGTCCACCAGCTGCCCCACCCCAACATGCTGCAGGGCCCAGATGGGAAGTTGGAGGGAGTCTGTCTGCCATACTGACTTGTCATTCTCCACTCCCAGTTGCCCTGGCCCACCTCCCCTTCCCTGAGCCATTCTCTCTCTTGCCTCCCATGCCTCCAACATTAGGAAACAAGCTTTGTTTTGAGTACCCCATGCCCTTCCACGGACCTCAGTCATTGGTTTTCAGGTGTGTCCACAGGAAGTTCATGCTCTACCAGGTGCTTGGGGGTTCTGCAGTGATTGGACTCTGAGTTCATTTAGAAATATATTTTAAATACCAGTATGTATTTTAAATATTTCTAAGAAGACAGTAGGTTTGGAGGTACAGTTCTAGCCCCAGGAGTCATGAGATCTGGTCTCTCAATCCAGCTGCGCCTCTAACCAGCTGTGTGGTGTCAGGACAGCCGGACCATGTCATCTACTCTGATGTCCCTTCCGGGCCTCAGTCTGTAGATCTGATCCCAGGGCTGTAAATCTTGGACAAGAACAGAGTGAAAGCCTAGAGCCAGCCCTAGCTGGAGCCAACAGAAGCCACCCCGTTCATCTCCCAGCCTTTCTATTTTTTTTTCTTCTTTGCCTTGATTCTCACTCTAATCCAGAACCTGCTGCCCCCGCTCATTCACATTCTCCTGCTCAGACCTGAGCTGGGCAGATAAAGGGAACAGAAGCGAGCACACTTCTGGAAAGGGAGGGGGGAGGCCCAGACGTGGGTCCAGTGAGTGCCCATGTCTGTGCTCAGAATCCCACCTACACCGCAGCGCTTTGGCACCTGGTCCCTGCTTCTCCCAGGGAAGCCCGTGGGCTGGTGTGTCTGTCAGTGCTGCACCCCGGGGTCTGGTGCATTAGGATCTGCGTTTTAACAGGATCACCACGCAGTCTGAGACGCCCCATCTAGCTCATCTCTAGCCTTCTTCCTGCCCTAAAATGCGGTGATCACTGGGGCACAAGAGCTAACATTTCTTGACCCCTTCTGAGTGCCAGGCACGGGGCACCCTCATTTTCACTGCGAAGGGAACAAAGGCTCGNTGCTCATGTGCACATCGCAGTCTGAGACGCCCCATCTAGCTCATCTCTAGCCTTCTTCCTGCCCTAAAATGCGGTGATCACTGGGGCACAAGAGCTAACATTTCTTGACCCCTTCTGAGTGCCAGGCACGGGGCACCCTCATTTTCACTGCGAAGGGAACAAAGGCTCAGTGTTTGTGTGACACAAGAAGTTATGGGTGGGGAACCCGACTTGGGCCTGTCTGAGCCCAAAGTGTGAGCTCTTTCTGTCACCTCCACTGACTCTTCATCAGAAATCTCTCTGTCTGCTTTGTTATGTGACATCCGGTGGCCTAGTCACATTGGAATCGGTTTGGCGATAGAGTTGTTCAACTCGTTTCAAAAGAAGGGACTAGGACAGAAGGTAGGGGTGCTGGTTTTTCTTTATAATGACTGTCTGTATGTTCTGAAAGCCGTAATCATCAGCCAGAGTTGTTGCTCTTTATATAGAAGCATGTCAGTCTTCTGCGGGGTGGAAGGCCGAGGGTAAAATCAGTCATGACCGTGCTGGTGCCTGAGTTCCTTGGGGACACGTGATGGAGGCCCGGGCCTGCAGGGCTGACGCTGTCTGCGCATCTATAAGGGGAAGGTAATTGGATCTCTGCCCCACACATGGCGGTCCACCCAGACATTGCACGGCCGGAGCCTCTGTGTGACACATGCTTGCTCTCCCGGGAATGGTCTCCCCTCTGAGCGTGACATCGTGGAACTGCTTCTGATTGCCCCACCCCTGTGTTTCCTGTGGTCTGTGTTATTTCTTTGCTTACACATGTTCCAGTAAGTGGTTTGGGAGGGAAGGGTGGGGAAGAACATGTGGCTAAGCATATGTCCCTTCAGACCTCCCCTGCTGGTCTATAGCTGAGACCCTGTGACCATAGGATCCCACCCAGCCTCCAGGGCTCTGGGACTTCTCCAGGCTCTGTGGGAGGACCTTTTGACAGGACTCCTGGCCCCAAACCTCTACTGGGTCCCTTTGGGAGTCTGATGAAACCTGGCCCTTCCTCCACTCAAAAAATATTTTTTTCTAGAATATTTAACATCCTGGTTCAGCAGATGTACAGATACTCTGAGCCCATCTGTGGATGCAAAGTTGAGAAACCTGGCTCAAATTAGTGCAGATGGGGGAAACTATCAGCCCCCCTTTAATTAGTGCTACAATGAGAAACAGAGCTCTTTTCTCTGAAAGTCCCAAAATGACATAGAGATTGACCACCTTAGGAGTCTCCTTGCCAACGAGACACAGAGGACAATGTCCTGCATCATTCTCTCTCACGTGCATGGCCCTTGGTTGATGATCTTGAAGAGGTCCCCCTCCTGCTGCTTGTGCCCCCAGGTAGAGGGGCCAAACGTGCTTATCACGTCACAGCTTTGACAGGGGCAAGATCAAGCTGGGCACAGACGCGCACACCAAGACACAGAGNCCTGGAATATCATGTCACAGCTTTGACAGGGGCAAGATCAAGCTGGGCACAGACGCGCACACCAAGACACAGAGCTGTGTCTCAGGGCTGGCCCTGCCACCTTGGGAAAANTCACGTCACAGCTTTGACAGGGGCAAGATCAAGCTGGGCACAGACGCGCACACCAAGACACAGAGCTGTGTCTCAGGGCTGGCCCTGCCACCTTGGGAAAACGCGGGAGAGCTGCTGGGAGCTGGAGAGGCAGGAAGGTGGACATCCAGGTCCGGGGCCAGCCCTCCGAGTCAGGGGTGTCTTTGCTACAAAGGGGAGACCTTTGTTTGCTCCATCCTGCCTCCTCCATGTGTGGAGAAGACCCTATGTTGGGTCAAAGCCCCAGAAATGTAATGTGGCCTCTGTGAGCCAAGTTTAGGCCTCATCACATCTGGGGGGCCTTCTTCCAGCTGGGGGGCTGCCTTCACATCAGGAAGACAGGATGGAGTGAGCGGAAGGGTCCCTTCCCAAGTGGCAGCACCTCCTGAGACTGGAACACATCCTGAAATGGGGGCAGGAGCACTGTCCCAGCTCAGCAGAGCGCAGCCAGGACCATCCGTTCTGGGGGCGCAGGGGACGGGTGACTGGTGTGGGAAAGGACGAGGGGTGAAAAACAGCTCCTCCAACCTGCGCCACTTCTCCGGTTAAAAGTTCTATTTGGGTCCCAATGACCTAGGATAACAAAGAAAATACCCAAGCATCTTGCCTTTCTCTGGTCCAGTTCTGTCTGTCATGAGGATGTGTCCTCAGCGGGTACTGTGTCCTCGAATACTGGGCCCCGGGGTCTTTCGGTAGAAGGCAGTCCTCCCTTTATCCAGATTACAGGGGCCTCCGCCGGGGGAGATGATGGTCTCCTTAGTGTGCTGGTTCCTTTCCAGGTGAAGTTTCCCATCTCTGCCCCCTCAGTCCACGTCTCAGACTTCCAAAGGTTGGGACACCTCAGCCTGGAGAGAGGAGGTGTACCCTCGTCACCAGCACCCGCCTTCCCGCCTCCCCGGGTGGGGCGTGTATGGGTGGTGGGGTGGGGTGGGGTGCCCCTGGGCTCTCTGAGAGGGAGACGTGGCCCGGGGGGTGGGGGTGTCCACATACACTGGAGCAAAGCAGAGGGCTCCAGGACTGCAGCTAGCTACGGCTGGGAGGCTCCAGCCCAGCTGTTTCCTTCGCAGGGTTCACAGGGGAAAATCTGAAGAGCTGGGGAAGACTCTTAAATCAAGTTTGCAGAAGCAGGGGGAGCAGGAGGAGGTCAGCCTCACAACAGTTTGTCTGTGGTCTCCGTCTGAGTTCTGTTTAGACAACGGAACGTAAACCTATTTCTCTTCCATCTTTCCAGCTGGTAAACAGGGTAACAGAAGCTGTTCCCTGAAAGATGCAGACATGTTTTAGGCAGTGAGTCAGACCTCATGCCTCATCTTGCTCCTTCGAGAAGCCAAAAGAGACTTTCAAAGTCATCACTTCAGCTGCCACAAAATGCGTCCCTGTGACTGCTCAGCATCGTTTACCCAGAAACATGAGTGACCTGGGAAAAACCCAGCGTAGGAACTTATGACATTATTTTTAGCAAAGGCAAACACAGGAGGAATTGGAAAAGAACCTCTGATTTCCTCTCCGAAAGTCCACCCTCTTAATTCCCCTCTTCCCCCGGCCTTCTGCTGCCCAGCACAGGGAGCCTGAGGCCAACCACAGGCGGCTTGGGAGGCAAGGAAGCCACCCTGGGCCTGGGAATAAGGGTAGGAATGGTAGTGGTGGGGGTCATAATAAAAATACTCCTCCTGTCACTACAGGGAGGAGTGGTAATGAGGAGGGAGTTGACGGGTACCCAGGACCCCTCTGTCTCTGCCGCGTGTTAGGCATTTCTGCGATTTCTCCTCCTGGGTCCTTTCCATACGCCTAAGGCTGGGCCATGTGACCGTTCTCTTCCCCAGGAGACACCCATTTTCCAAATGTCCCCTGTAATGAGAGAGACAAGCATGTTTGGTAGTTGCAGACTGTGACACACACGTTGCAGCCTGGCCAGCCCAGTGCCGCAGCAGGCCGGCTCCAGGGCAGCCCCGTTTCCCCTGTGCGCTCTGAACCAAATGCATCACTTTCCAGGAATCTGCATCTGATCTCAATTCCGCCCCGGCCGCTCAGTGAGGACAGGGGGCACCGTTATGTAAACGATCAGCCCGCCTGCTCAGCTCCCTCCTCTGCTTCACTCCTTCCCACAGGCTCCCTGAGCTCTTTCCCTTCTTTTTTATTTGCTCTCCTGCGAAGAGCAAGACTTCCTGCTGCTGGCTTCCCGCTGTGGCTGGTCACCCCTTCCACCCTGGTCCCGCCTCCTGGTGGCCTGTCCCTGGGACATGTTAGTGCCGGCTCGGCCTCTCCCCCTCACTCCACAGACCCTCCCCCATTCTCTTCTCTTCCCCTCTCTACCATATTCCCACTTTAAAAAGTTTTCAAAAGACATTGAAAAGTAACTTTTTCTAGTCTGCAGAAAGTATACCAAAAAGGAACGGGCTGTGAGAGCCACTGTAGTGCTCAGGAGGGTTATCAGAGGCACTGAGTACAAATATCTGTTCATTGAGCTTATTCTATGCCAGGCCCTGTGCCCGTCAGTTCACCTCACTTATTCCACGGCACTTCATGCATTCCATCCGTTATTATTCCCATTTAGCTGATGAGAGAACTGAGGCCTAGGAAGGGGAGCTGCTGCCCCACTCTGGAGCCCATGTGAGCACCATGGTACCGCCTCATGAGGTCACCCCCTCCTCTCCCACAGGCCACCCCTTTGGGCCACACTACTCAAGGTGTCCCCAGAAGTAAATCGCCAGCCAGGCAGTTGTTTGCAGGTGGCAGTTGCTCCCCAAACTGACCCCCAGGTCCTGTCTCCCACTCCAGGCACTACCACAGCATGGAAGTATTCACCCATTATGATCTCCTGAATCTCAATGGCACCAAAGTGGCAGAGGGCCACAAAGCCAGCTTCTGCTTGGAGGACACAGAATGTGAAGGAGGTATCTTTGTAGGGGGGCTGGGGGGCTGCAGAGGGATGCAATACTCTACCAGCTGTGCCCACCCAGCCCAGAGCCCAGGTCTGATGCTGGACTCTGGCCACCTCTGACTCTCCACGTGACCTTTCTCTATGGGGCCTTCCATGGCTATGCTTGGGGCTGGGGCTGTGGGCAGGGCCTGGTTAAAAAGGCACCTGGATCCCCCAGAGTTATGCTGATGGGCACCAGTGGGGCCACACAGTATCCCAGGTAAGGCCCAAACCCTTGGACCACAGACACAGCCTCTCCCACTCTGGCTGCCACAGCCATTCTCCCTGTGTCCCAGTGCCTAGTGCCCCTGCCCCTCAGGTTCTTACCCTTCAAGATCAAGCTCAAATGAGCCCCTGTGCAGTTCCCAGACTCTCTCAGCCCCCCCAGGCAGAGGCAGCACCCTGCTCACACTGCTAGGAGGCCACCGCACCTGCTGTGAGCACACCTGCCATCCTGACATGCCTGGGGCTCTTCAAGGGGAGACACATGATTCTTCTCGATACACCCAGTGCTTAGAGTAGTGCCCAACGTGGCAGCCTCTCAGTAAATGTAACTCCCACTGATGTGCCATGAAACCACACAGGAAATGGGTTTTGAGCACCTCCCATGTGCCATACAAGCGGTTGGTCCAGTAAGGGTCAGACAGACAAACCAGACCCGAGGCCAAATTCAACTGCTGATTATCCAGAGAGAGACAAGATGACCCCACATTAAGCTAAACGATAAATACCAGAGCTTTCCCCCAATAAGCATGCACTTCATTCCCAGGCTAATGATTCCTCAGAAAGGCCACGGTGGGCCACAGTGGTCAGGGAAGGCTTCGTGGAGGAGGGGGACCCTGGCTGGGTCTGGAAAGAGGGCTGGGATGTGGGTAGACAATCGGGCAAGGGATTCTATAGAAAGGAGAGAGGATTAGACACCACACAATGTGGGTGGGATGCTGAGCCCTGATGAAGCTGAGGCTAAAGGCCTTGGGGAAGGAATCGAATGCTGAGGGTGGGGTCTGGGATATCACCTGCCTAGCAGGGCTGTTTGGGGTGCATTTTGGAGAGGGGTGGCACACAGAGTGGAGGCACCATGTGTGCATGGTGACTGGGGTTCCCTCGGCACCTGCCTGCAGACATCCAGAAGAATTACGAGTGTGCCAACTTTGGTGAGCAGGGCATCACCATGGGTTGCTGGGACGTGTACCGCCATGACATCGACTGCCAGTGGGTGGACATCACCGACGTGCCTCCTGGAGACTACCTGTTTCAGGTGAGGGCCGTGGGAAGGCATTCCAGGACCCTGCAGGTGGAAGGAAGGGTCTTTTTCCCAGTGAGGGGAAGGCAACCTCCCTTCTCTTGGTGCCCATACAAAACAGGTGCATGGAGGCCAGGCTGTCTAAAGTGCAGGAGCCCTATACCCAGAGGCCTGTGCGGTCAGTCGGGTAACCTGAATATGTAGGGTATGCAGGCCGGGTGGT